AAAGCCTTTACTACAGCGGAGACACTTTTGGGCTGGAAGTTTAGTGTTGGCATTTTTGTTTTTTAAACTGTAACAGTCTTTCTTAAAATGTCCAGGGTTACCGCACCCAAAACAGGTGGCAGTGGATGGACGGAGAGCTGCCGCTAATACTTGTGCCTTATGAGTTTCTGTGTCAACATTTTGACATGCTCTAATAGCTTCTTCTGACACCTTACGCTGTTCAGAAGAAAGAAAGTTCCCCATAGCGAGGGAGAAACGGAAAATGAAGGAAAGAATGATAGGAAAGCTCCTGGCCCGAAGCCTGAAATCCCTTGAGGGAGCATACGAGAAAGCCCCGCTGCTCCCGGGGCTATAGAAGCCCGAGATGAGAACGTCCGGTAAAGTTCCGCCCGCAGAAAAGCCCCGCCGCTCCCGGAGCTGTAAGAGCAGCCCGAGATAGATGTGCGTCTTACACTCACCACCTTCAGGGATTGAGTTAGAGGGTGTCTACAGCACCCTCACACGGGGCACCATCTGTCACAGCCCCTCACACAGGGCACCATCTGTCACAGCGGCGGCGAATGTCGGGACGGCGGAGACAGTAACCAAACACAACTCTTACAGAAAAGTGGGGCCAGGAGGGTCACTCTGAGGAGTCGACCCTCGGCTTCAGTCCCAGGAGTTTATTTATAGTCAATACAGCAAGCAGTGAAGCACATAAGAGAACAATGGACTATGGGTGAGTAACAGTAAGTTTCGGGCAAGGGAGAAGGAATTCAGGTAAACAAGCCAATCAGTAACGGGACAACAGGTTTGGGAAAACAAGTCGTGACAAGTCTCAACATGTTGGGGACAAGTCTCAACATGTTGGGGACAAGTCTCAACATGCTGTGCAGCATAGAGGCCTGTGGGAGCTGCAGTTGTCAATAGTGCAGCCATGTTTAAATGGCATATATCCCCACACAAAGGAAATGAACAGACACTTCACCAAAGAAGACATTCAAGTGGACAACAGACACATGAGGAAGTGCTCGACTTCACTAGCCATTAGAGAAATGCAACTTAAAACCACAGTAAGATACCATCTCACCTCGGCATTACTGGCACGAATCAAAAACACTGGAAATAACAAATGTTGGCGAGGCTGCGGGGAGATTGGAAGTCTTATGCACCGCTGGTGGGAATGCAAAATGATACAATCATTTTGGAAAATGATATGGCACTTCCTTAGAAAACCAGAAATAGAAATACCATACGATCCAGCAATCCCACTCCTAGGAATATATCCTATAGAAATAAGAGTCGACACACGAATAGACATATGCACACCCATGTTCATGGCAGCATTGTTCACAATAGGAAGAAGATGCAAACAACCTAGATGCCCATCAACAGATGAATGGATAAACAAACTATGGTACATACACACAATGGAGTACTAGGCAACGATAAAGAACAATGATGACTCTGTGAAGCATCTCATAACATGGATGAAACTGGAGGACATTATGCTGAGTGAAATAAGTCAATCACAAAAGGACAAATATTGTATGAGACCTCTATTGTAAAAATCTCATGAAAAAGTTTACACACAAAAACTAACACTCCTTGTTGGTTACGAGGGATGGGGGGGGGTGTGGAAATACTAAACAGACAAGAGGTAAGTGGTAACTTTGGTGAAGGGTAAGACAGTACACAATACTGGGGAAGCCAGACAACTTGTACAAGGAAAGGTCGTGGAAGCTCCATAGACATATCCAAACTCCCTGAGGGACTGAATTGCTGGTTGGAGGGCTGTGGGGACCATGGTCTCGGGCAACATCTAGCTCAACTGGCATAACACAGTTTATAAAGACAGTGTTCTACGTTCTACCTTGGTGAGTAGCATCTGGGGTCTTAACAGCCTGTGAGCGGCCATCTAAGATACTCCACTGGTCTTACCCCTTCAGGAGCAAGGGAGAATGAAGAAAACAAAATACAATGAAAAGATTAGTCCAAAGAACTAATGGACTACAGCGACCAAGGCCGCCACCATACTGAGTTCAGTACAGCTAGATGGTGCCCGGCTACCACCACTGATGCTCTGACCTGGATCACAACAGGGGGTTCTGGACAGAGCTCGAGAAGGATATAGAACAGAACTCTAACTCACAAAAAAAAGACCAGATTTACTGGCCTGACAGAGACTGGAGAAACCCTAAGAGTATGGCCCCTGGACACTCTTTTAGCTCAGTGGTGAAGTCACTCCCAAGGTTCACTGTTCAATCGGGGATTGGACAGCCCCACAAAACAAAACAAGACTAATGAGTCACAGCAGTCCAGGGACAAGGACTAGATGGCAGAAGGGGGCAGGAAAGCTGGTGATAGGGAACCCAAGGTTGAATAACGACAGTGTTCACATGTAGTGGGGTTATAACCATTGTCATAGGGCAATATATGTACTAACTGTTTAATGAGAAACTATTTTGTTCTGTAAACCTTCATCTAAAGTGAGAATAGCAGCACAACTGGAAGAACGTAAATGACATAACTGAATTGTACACGTAGAAATTTTTGAAATGGTGTATCTTTGACTACGTATATTTTCACCGAGAAAAAAAAAAGGTCCTCCAAGGCTGAGAAGCGAGCGTGTAGACACATCATGGGGTTGTTAACCAATGTCATAAAACACTATGTGTACTGACTGTTTAATGAGAAAATATTTGTTCTGTAAACCTTCACCTAAAGTACAATAAAAAAAAAAAAGGTATTGAGTGGCCATCTGAGACGCATCAATTGGTCCCAACCCACCTGGAGTAAAAGAGAATGAAGAACACTAAAGACACAAGGAGAATATTAGCCCAAGAGACAAAAGGGCCACATAAACCAGAGACTTCATCAGCCTGAGACCAGAAGAACTAGATGGTGCCTGGCTACCATCAATGACCGCCTTGACAGGGAACACAGAGAGTCCCTGACGGAGCAGGAGAAAAGTGGGGTGCAGAACTCAAATTCTAGTAAAAAGACCAGACTTAATGGTATGACTGAGATTAGAAGAACTCCAGAAAGCATGGCCCCCAGACTCTCTGTCAACCCAGAATTATAACTATTCCCAAGGCCAACTCTTCAAAGATCAGACTGGACTGTGGGATGTAAAATGATAGTCGTGAAGAGTGTGCTTCTTAGCTCAAGTAGATACATGAGACTAAATGGGCAGCTCCTGTCCAGAGGTGAGATGAGAAGGCAGAGACGGTCAGGAGCTGGTTGAATGGACACGGGAAATCAGGGGTGGAAAGGAGGAGTGTGCTGTCACAGTATAGGGAGAGCAATTAGGGTCACATAACAGTGTATGTGTAAATTTTTGTATGAGAGTCTAAACTGAATTGTAAACTTTCACTTAAAGCACAATAAAATAGAAAAAATTTTAAAAATTCACCATTTTAATCATCTTGAAGTATACAATTAAGTGGTTTTTAGTATATTAATATAGTGTTGTACAACTATCGCCACCACCTAATTCCATAACATTTCCATCACCATGAAAAGAAAACTTGTACCTCCCAATTCCCTCCTTTCCCCATCACTTGGCAGCCATAAATCTACTGTCTCTGGATTTGATTACTCTGGACATTTCATGTAAATGCAATGTACAACATGTGGCTTTTTGTGTCTGGTTTTTTTTCACATAGCATGTTTTCAAGTTTCATCCACATTGTAGCAAGTTATCAGTACTTCATTCCTTTTTATGGCTGAATGAGATAGTCCATTATACGGATGCACCACATTTTGTTTATCCATTCATCAGATGATGACTCTTCCATCTATCACTGCATATACTATTTTGAGCCAGAGTTAAACATTTACAGGTATAATCTTCCCTGCTAGATTGCAGGCTCTTAGAGAATAAGTCCATGTTTATTTTCATTTTTATATCCCTGGGGCTGAACACAATGCCTACCACATATTTAGGCATGTAAATTATCCTGCATAATTTTACATCTAATCACAACTTACATTTATATATATAGCACTTTAAAAGGTACTGTCATAGTTCATGTTTTGCTTTTCCTAATATCTAGCTTACAGGGTTCATTTAAGAACCACCTGAGGGATAAATGAGATGACATAAATGACTGAATAACAATGGTTTCTGTATAGTGAGCAACTTCCTATGAGCCAAGTATGCATTATCTCTTTTAATCCTCAACACTGAAAGGTATTACTATTCCCATTTTAAAGATAAGGAAATTGAGATTCAGATAGGCAAAATAATTTGCTCAAGGTCTCAGAGAGTATAAGTCGTAAAACAAAAATTAAACACAGATCAAAGACACAGTGAGAAAAAGATAATTTCTCTGCCACTAGAGCCTAAGAGATTAAGACATAGCTATGTAGAAATCAGGAGATAAAATTTTGATTCTGCCACTTAAGAGCATTATAATCTTAGGAAAGCCAGTTAGCCTCCCTGATTCTTAGTTTCCTGAACTATAAAATGAGAATAGCTGTTGTAAAGTCTCAGCCCTGACCACCAGTTCAGTGCTCATTTCACTGTTTGTCATGATGCTCTTTCAGATACAGCAAAAATAATTTATCCCCTGGCTCAATGAAGAGCATAAATAACACATTAAAAAAAATTAATTACACCTAGTTTTGCTTACTCTCTTATGTTAGAAAGCCCAGAAATTACATTCAGCACATTTCGTTTCTCCTTCTCTGAAAATAAATTTTACAAAAGCATCCCTAATTTTACCTCTTCTTTCTTCTTAGGGTCTGACATGGGATTCCGGAAAAGAGGGGAGTCTCCAAAAGGTGAGTATGTTAGATTATTGATGTGCTGTTGGAGGACAGCCTGCTGGGCAGCAGAAGCATTTGGATCTGTCAAAGCTTAACAAAAGACAAAAAAAAAAAAAAGATGTTAGTTCTAGGATCCAGTGCATTTATATCAAAAGAACTCAGTCAGTACTCTTTGGGGATATGGTTTCCAAAATGTTCAGACTCACTCAGTAATCTTACTAGCGGAGAAACAAACTGTAAAGGAAATCAAGAATCCAGTAAGCTAAAGGGTCAAAGATATGAAAAGATGTTTCATAAGAGATGACACACATAAAAATACACACAGATAATATCATCATCACTAGTAATCAAAGAAATACAAAGTAAAACAACCTTGAAAAAATATTTTATACCTACTTCACTATCCCTCACTGGCACAGCTGAATAAAGTGTTACAGCCTTTGACTTACAGAAACATTATAAACTGGTTTAATTCCTCTAAAGAGAATATGACAGCACATAGAGCCAATACTGTTTTATATCCTTTAACGCAGTAATTTCAATCATACAAATTTAAACCAAGGACTTAATTAAATTATAAACAAAATAAAGAAATGTTCTTAGGTGTCCCCTGCACATTTATAACAGTTAAGACTTGGAAATAACCTACATGATCAACATTATCAGTTGTAAAAATTAAGGCACATCAACTTGGTGGATTATGTACTTACTAAAATAACAATATCTTATTTTGTTATGGAAATATGAAGGTATCTTTAATAAGTAAAAATTCCAGAATAAAAAATATTATAAATACTAAGGATACAGAGGAAGAAGGCAGCATTAAAAAAAAATGAAAATAGTTAAGATGTACTTATACATTATTTACATTTAATATTCATATTATACTTAAGTAGTGATTGAACGTGAAAAAAAAGGTCACCCAGTTAGCCTAATTTTCTTTCAAAGTGTGAGAACAAACATCAGTCATCAGTAACTGAATTTAGGGAACAGACACAAGGAACAACGAAAACTTTATGATTATAATTATATAAAACCAAAACCTATTGCCGTTGAGATGATTCCGACTCATAACGACCCTACAGGACAGGGTAGAACTTTCCTATAGGGTTTCCAAGGAGTGCCTGGTGGATTCGAACTGCCAACCTTTTTGGTTAGCAGCTGTAGCTCTTAACCACTACGCCACCAGGGTTTCCTACAATTACACAGTCAATTAAAAAAACAAAAAAACAACTATCTCCATTCTACTTTGACTGAGAGATCTTGGAAAGATAAATCTTTCAAAAAATAATGATAATAAATCAGACTTAAAGCATTTTTTAAAAGAATTAACCCATTTTACTCCTATTAAATTGTGATAAAGATACATATATATATATGAAAGTTATTTGGCATTTCAACTTTTTCATCTTCAATTCAGTGACATTAATTACATTCATCATGTTGTGCAGCCCTCACCACTATCCATTTCCAAATTTTCCCATCACCCTTAAGAGAAGCTCAATCACTGCTTCCTAAGCTATGACTCTCCCTTAGGCCCTTCCACCCACCCCCAGGAATAAGGCATTTAAGAAATAAAAATTTTTTTTTCCCCTATAAACATTTAGGGGTCTTAAAAGCTTGCAAGCAGCCATCTAAGATACAACTATTGGTCTGTACTTGTCTGGAGAGCAAAAGAGAAACAGAGAAACCAGACTCAAAGAAAAAAACTAGTCTACGGGACTAATAGCTTACTTAAACCAAGGCCTCACCTACCCTGAGATCAAAAGAACTAGATGGTACCAACTGTTCTGACCAGGGACATGATATATGGTCTCAGATAGAATGGGAAAGAAATGTAGAACAAAATTCAAATTCCTAAAAAAGGCCAGACTTACTGGATCAGCAGAGGCTAGAGGAACCCCCTAGACTATTGCCCTTGGATACCTTTTAAACTTGGAACTGAAACCACTCCCGAAGGTAACCTATCAGCCAAAAGAAAGTGGTTGATAAACTATCAGCCATGAGTACCGTGCTCCTAAATAATCATCTACTTGACACCAAATGGTAAATATTTACCCTAAAGCAAAGATGAGAATGCAAGAGGGGCAAGGAAGCTAGATTAATGGAAACAGAACAACCAGAATGGATATAATGAGACTGCTGACACATAGTGAAAAAAACTGTTAAATGGGAATCTAATTTGCTGTGTAAATGATCGGTAAAGTAGAAGATCATGAAAAAAGAGGAAGACCCTCAAAAAGATGGATTGACACAGTAGCTGCAACAATAGGCTCAAGCATAACAACAATAGTGAGGATAGTGCAGGCGGTGTTTCGTTCTGTGGTACACAGGGTCACTATGAGTTGGAACCGACTCAACAGCACCTAACAACAACAACTGCTGTGCAAACTTTCGCCAAAAATATAATTAAAAAAAAAAAATTTAGTAATAAGGCTAAATCCAATATATAGTAAGATAATGCACATTGTGTAAGAGTGCTATAAACAAAACTTTTTGAAAACATCAATACTTGCAATAAAAAAACCAAACCAAACCCACTGCTGTTCAGTCGATTCCGACTCACAGCGACCCTACAGGATAGAGTAGAACTGCCCCTTAGGGTTTCCAAGGAGCAGCTAGTGATTCGAACTGCCGACTTTTTGATAAGCAGCTGAACTCTTAACCACTGTGCCACGAGAGCTCCGCAACAGGGGAAAACAAAAGCAACAACAACAAAAAGAAGGGACATCTATAGCTAAATTAATGAAAAACTAGTAGATTCACCTTAGTCAAACTAAGCTTTCTTAAAATCTGATGTATTTGTTAAATACTGAAACACAGAATGCTGACAGTTGAGGACATAGTGCAAATTTGTTCAGGATTTTGAAATCCAGAGGCAATGTCAATTTAAAAAGCATATACTACATCATCTGTGTTCAGAAAGCTCCTAAACCCCAACTTAAGACAACAGGCAAGGAAAAAATGAAAAAAGGGGTCTCTTGGCATATAGTTTCACATAACAGCAGCAGTGTTATTCTGGGGACTATTCAAGGAGACTCAAAATCTGTGCAGTTTTAGAGAACTCCAATCTTCACAGGTCAGTTTGTTACTTGACAGCCCTAAAAAATACTTAGCAATCCAGGCTCATGTCCATGGCACTGAATTAATAAATCAGATCAAGGCTATTGTCACCAGCCTTACTGATACTATCCCCAGGATTTTTCCTCAGAAAATAGACTGGGCTAAAGTTTCAGGCTCTAAACAAGAGAAAGATGGCAATGTTTATAATTACAGAGACCATCTGACCAAGGTTTTTATGAAACATTTGGGATTAAACTTAGAGGAATTAGGAGTCAGTACAGCTTTTAATTCCATTTTTCTTAATGGGCTCCACCCTGATTTGGCTGAACTGATCAAACGCCATAGGCTAGATTGGGAAAAATGTTCCCACACCAGAGCTAACTACCTTAGCTTACAAACTGGGCCAAACATTAGAACAAAAAGCCAAAGAAATAGAACAAAGGATACAAACTCAGGTGAGCCACTCTTAGCCCAAGTCATGCTTTCCCGTAGACTTAAATTTTTTCAGCCCAGTTTCCTTCCCTACAGAGTAAAGTCTGCTTCACAGGACGTGGTGAGGATGAAGATGCACTGCTAAACAATAAGCAATCAAGTGATTAGTCCTTTGGACTAATCCTTCCCTTGTGTCTTTGGTTTTCTTCATTTTTGCTTGCTCCAGATGCGGTGAGACCAGTGCAGTATCTTAAAGATGGCCACTCACAAGCTTTTAAGACCCCAGACGCTACTCATCACAGTAGGATTTAGAACATTTTCTTTATGAACTATTTTATACCATTTGAGCTACATGGCGCCTGAGATCATGGTCTCCAAACCTCAGCCTAGTAGTTCGGTCCCTCAGGGAGTTTGGATGTGTCTACGTAGCATCTATGACTTTGCCTTGGTCACACTGTGCTGACTTCCCCAGTATTGTGTACTATCTTACCCTTCATCAAAGTTACCAGTTATCTATCGTCTAGTGTTTTTCCCTCTCCCTCTCCTTCCCTCGTAACCATCAAAGATTGTTTCTTTCTGTGTGTAAACCTTTTCATGAGTTTTTATACCAACGGTCTCTCTAAACAAAACAAGTTAATGGCCTTGTAGTTACAACAGCTGCAATCTCCTAATTATACCAAATTCAATGCCTATGCAGGGACCAAATCGTGGAAAAATACCCCCGCAGTTTGTTATTATTGCAAGAAACTGGGACATTTCAACAAACTGGGCACTCCACCCTTTAACACCCCTTAGGATAAGCCTGAATGAGGGTGCTCCGGGGACCATTTAGGGGCTTTTCTGACGGTGGCTTTAGATTCTCAAGGTGAAACTATTATTCGGATCAACGGTGGACCCTGTACATTTTTAATTCACAGGTGCCACCCTCTCAGCCATTAACCCCAAGTTTGCAAAAGCCTCTACCCCAGAGCACAAAGACCTCTAAAGTTGTAGGGGTTGCTAACAAAAAACAAACTTTAACTCATTCTTTACCTGTTTCTAAATCTTTGGCCGCTATTGAAGACATGCACCTGTTCTTACTTAGACAGTCCCATTAATTTGCTTGGGAGAGACTTTTTATCTAAATGGAACTGCCGTTTAAAGATCACTTAGCAAGGAGAAATATTGCAAGATTTTTCTGAAACCAAATTATACAATGATTCCTGAACAGGAGCAGACCCAAATGAGGAAGAAGCTCTTTTGTTAATTACAGGCACTCCATTTGCTGCTGAAGGAAGGTAAACCCTCAGCTCCCATCTCCTCCTCCTCAGACCTTTTATCTACAATTCTTGAAACCTTACAGGCTACTACATTCACTGCTGTTGGCCAAATGCTGTCAATGGACTCAACCCAAATTCAGACTGACGCATCTAAATCCTTACCAAAAATCTCCCAAAATCCTTTGAGATAGGAAGCTACAGAGAAAATTTCTCCTATAATTCAAGACTTCCTTGCTAAAGGTTTAATCATCCCATGTTCGACTCATTGTAACACCCGTTACAAGTAACACCAAATAACTGAGGATGGAGATATGTCCAAGATTTATGTGCTATCAA